TGATGTGGTATAGCAATATCAGAGTTAAAACTGAGAGTGGTCTTCTGATCCACATGCAGTTTGGAGCCCAGCTACGCCAGAATCAGAAAAAGTTGTAATACTCTGAAATAAAACTCAGCTAAATATGGTACTTTTATGTAATTTGCAGTTTCACATAATTGATAATTGTTTCATCAGTATCATAGAGGATGAAGAGCAGTCCTTCCTTTGGACTGTCTCCAAGCAGCAGAAATAATGAGAATAAGTTACAGAACTTAAAATAAACCCAGGTGTTTCTGGGCCTCAGATTCCTAATGTCCACAATGAAGAGACTATGTCATTTCAAAGCTCGTCACAGCTCTAACTAATCTTGACTCCATCTCATGGATGAATGAAATGCCTGGTTTTCTTTTTAATTTGTTCAGTTCTATGCATACAAGGTATGCAGTTTGTTCTGAGATGATCTACACATGGGTATTTCTGTAATTCCCCTTTTATCATCAGTAGCATCTGTTTGATTCTTTCCCCTACATTTGCACAAAATGTAGGCTTCCCATCTCACTGTGTTACATTGCAGGATCAGCAAGCATGTCAAGGGTCTCATGTGTCTCTGATCTCATGCAGCCTCTGCTGCAAGGAAGCTCTCACCACTGCCTCCTCAGAGTTATCCAATGGGTAAAGAAACCAGAAGGCAAGACCACTTAAGGCCAGATAACTAAACCAGCAATAATGGTGTCTGGGTCAGGAAAGGAAATATTTGTACAACATGGCCTAGCACTATTTGCCACTCTGAATTAAATCTGCATGTGGTAATCAGACCTAAAAGAAGTGCGCCAATAAGTCAGGCCATTGGTTATTCAGCTCTGTACAAGTTTTGGCCAAGAAAGTTAAATGCAGTGTTTGGCATTGTATCTCAGCCTGGTTCATTTCTTCATTAGAAATTCCCTCTGTAGAGAGTAAAATACAGTTATTTTGAGGTGGTGTCCATATCCTTAAGAACAGGAGGCACTGACCTAAGTTCCTTTACACATACTAGCTCTTAAATGCACAACTTTTTTTTTTTTTTTTAAGAGACGGGATTTCACCATGTTGGTCAGGCTGGTATCAAACTCGTGACCTCAGGTGATCCGCCCGTCTCGGCCTCCCAAAGTGCTGGGATAACTAGCATGAGCCACCACGCCTGGCCTAAATGCGCAACTTGAGTAAGGTTTATAATTCTCATTTCTATTATATGCTGCACATGGCTTATGACAAAATCAACCTGCAAATGATGGCAAGATAGAACAAGTCTGCGAAAGAATGGCAAGTTAATTACAGAAGTTGAGATCCTATCAATAATTTAAACCAAAACTTCTATTTGAAAACAAAACAGAACACCAGTGCCCTCAGTCACCTTCTTCTTACTCCATTCCCATTTGCTCCAGCAGGAATTAATCTCTTCTTTCTCCTTATTCTTGAGCACTTTTATATATCTGCACTTGGGTTAAAGCCAGTTCTATTAATTTCTTTGTTTGGATAGAAGTTTCCTTAATTTACTATAACCATTACTGCTGTCACTGTGCCAATCCAGTATGTTTGGACTTCACAGATAAGTCTTGCAGTTTCCACATCATCCCATCCTTACTGTGTTTGTTCTTGAATGACTTTTCACTGGAAGATAGTATAATTATCTTTTACAACATAACTACAAATAGGATCCTAATAACAAGTTTACTGTTTGTTAATTTGTGTTAGATACAGGCATACTGTTAAATTTTCCTATGATTTTTCATGTCTGTCTGGTCTTGTGAACTGTTACTAGTGTTTTTCTTCCATATGTATTTTACATACCAACTTGATTGTAAACTGCTTAAAGATAGAAACTGTGTTATATAAGCGTTTTACATGCTGGCTCTATGAATAATCACAAATAGTTGGGAATTTGGTTGGATGCCTCATCTGAAACTGTCCCTACTCTGATACCACCCTGGAACTTCAGCCCTTGGCCACCTGCTTTTATGAGTGCATTTCTGTGTCTCCCGCTTAAGTACTTACATAAGATGCTACTGAGTACCTGACTTCAGACCTACAGAGTCTTTTTTTTTTTTTTTTTAGACAGGGTCTCAGTCTATCACCCAGGCTGGAGAGCAGTGGTGAGATCTCAGCTCTCTGCAGCCTGAACCTCCCAGGTTCAGGTGATCCTCCCACCTTAGCCTCCTGAGTAGCTAGGACTACAGACACGTACCATCATGCCCAGCTAATTTTGTATTTTTCATAGAGACAGGATTTCTCCATGTTACCCAGGCTGGTCTTGAACTCCTGAGCTGAAGCAATCTACCTACTTTGGTTTCCCAAAGTGCTGGGATTACAGGTGTGAGCCACCACACCTGGTCCCTGCAGAGTCCTTAAAAAACAGGAGTGAATATAAGGAGGAGGCTGGGGAAGAATCCTCATTGATTTTAACCCTGGTGTTAACACTCCTGCGATACAGCTGTGGATCCTCCAGAAAGACTGTTTTTGCTGTATCATCAGTGCCACCTATTAGGAATTGTTCCATAAGAGAGAGTATGAGAAACTCTCTGGAGTTCAAAAAGTCAAAATGACATCCTTGCTAAAAAATCTCTTTATGGTTTAAGTTCCATAGTTACAACCAGGAATCTCTGGGAATTTGGTCTCTAAGCTCTTCTCAGACCCTGTGTTGCATACATTCCGCAAGGTCCTTGGGGGATGGAGCAGGCCTAGTTTTTGGTTTTCAGCAGTGTTTGTTATCTTCACAGCGAAATGGAACACTGGAATGTGATATTTACTCAATTTTGCACATTTTTCATTCAGTATTTGTATTTTTTATAAATGGCAGTTCTTCTAAAAAAAAACCAACAAAAAAATCTCTGATTTTGTGAATTTAGTTTATAAAACAAATGAGAGCAAGAAACTTCTCACCCCTGAACTCCATCCCTGGCTGTTACCCTTTGCTTTCTCTTCTTACTCTTTCCTAAGCAAGTTAAGTTATGACATTTATTGATCAGAGCATCTTATGGTTAATTCACTTTCCAAATTTCTAACATACCATTTGGCTTCTTACCTACAGAGCTATAGTACCAGAATTCAGTCAGTATATTTGTAAGAGCGACTGCTTCCATTTTTTGAAAGAAATAGAAAGGACTAAGAGCAATGATCTCCTTGTGTTAAAGAAAAAATTTTCATGACATTTGTTGACGACAATAAAGAAGACTTTATTCAAGGAAGGCTGTGGGAACAAGTACAAGGATTACTGCAGTGGAGTCTTGCAGTGTGGGAGAGAGATTAGGCTGGAGCCTGACTCCAGCAAGGACAGTGGGGATTTATAGCCAAGAAGCAAGTTGGGAGTCATTAAGTGGAAAATATCTAAGTGGAAATATCAAAGGTAAGGGAGATTCTTGCTAGACCAACTCAACAGAATTCTTGCTGAAGGCAGGCCAGGGTGATTAGATATCAAGGATAATCAGATACCAAGGGTAGAGGATTTTTGTTAAACTTTACCTGGATTCTTGCTCAAACTGGATCCTATAAGGACAGAGAGGGAAACCCAAGGTCAAGCCCATTTGAGCAGGGGCTCAGGGAAGTCTGATTAGAGTTAGTTTAAGGAGAGTCTTTGTCACCTGTTAAAAAGAATTCCTTTTTATGGCTCTGAATAATCATAGCAAGAGATGTGTCTATATCCCATTTTATAATAATTCAAAAATCTTGATAATTTCTTTAAAAAAGAAGCATTTGTTATCAGTCATAAATGTTGCTGTTTATATGCTAAAGTAGTATATTGGAATTCACAGAATGAAACCGTTATTTAATGTGCAGGATAGTATATTCCAAATTATTTCATATTATGGAAATAAAAAATATTCCATAGTTGTTAAACCATTTCTTTTCTTCTATTTTTTTTTTTTTTTTTGAGATGGAGTTTCACACTTCTTAGCCAGGCTGGAGTGCAATGCTGTGATCTCGGCTCTCTGCAACATCTGCCTCCTGGGTTCAAGCGATTTTCCTGCCTCAGCCTCCCAAGTAGCTGAGATTATAGTCATGTGCCTCCACGTATGGCTAATTTTGTATTTTTAGTAGAGATGGGGTTTTACCATGTTGATCAGGCTGGTCTTGAACACCTAACCTCAAGTGATCCACCGGCCTTGGCCTCCCAACGTGACTTAAGCCATTTCTTTTGAGACTCTGAGGAAAGGGTACATTCCTGATGTTTTTGGTTTGGATTATCAGTTCACAGTAGAGCAGTGCTTTAATTATACTTGGTAGTGAACCCCTACTAGCTGTTCAATCATGAATCCTCCAGTACTTCTTATTTGAATAATACGGAGATCCCTTTTGTAGTACTTTGTTAGACAACTTTTTTAGATTGGTTTCTAATAGAAGCAAAAGAGAACATCCTTTCTCCCATCTTTTCCAGAATTAATGTTTTCTGATCACTATATTTATAAGAGTAAAGTGAATATTGAAAATACCAAAGTGAGCTTTAGTCATTTATAGGAATTGCTTAAAGAAGGCAGTCATCAGTTACTTGTCTTCCCATGATTGTACTACTGAGAGTAGTATCTGCATTAGTCTCTTAGGCAAGATTTCAAAGAATCCTACTGTTGTCCCAACCTTTATTTTCAAAAGATAAACTTAAAAATTATGTTTGTAAAATTTTAAATGACTCAACACTTGATTAAATTACATCTAAGGATGAGACTGAATTTGCAATCTCAAATTTTCTGCATTTATTTGGCCTTACCTATTGTTTTTGTTTTGTTTTGTTTGTACTAGGCAAAGAACTTTATTAACCTTGGTTTGAAACTTGATTCCCAGGCTTCTTCAGCTTAATTAGCTGCAAAGAATGAGTTGTGTATACGCAAAAACTGAAAAGAGCTGTAGTGTCCAATGGGCTTGGGCTTAAAAATATTAGCGATCTAGATTTTATCAGATCCATAAACAAAAATTTCCTAGAAAGCAGTCATAATATAAAATAGCAGCACCCAGTAACTTCTTCAAGTTTTATCTTCAGAAGTTGACTCAATTCAGTTTGCCTCAATCTTGGAAGCCTCATCAAAATTCTCCACAAGATCTGGAACTTCATCATCATCTTCTTCCTCTCTAGTAGCAAGTGCTGCTTTTCCATCCACAGACTGTTTGGGCAGAGCCTCAGCCAGGCTCCTTAAACTAGTCAGACTGTCTGCCCCGAGCTGGGTTAAGATCAGCTGCTTTGTCTCAGCATGACCTGTAATGGTGAAAGCGTTCGCTGCCAGAGATGCCTGCACTTTAGGGTTGTTAGAGTGGATCACTGTTCCTTGGTTTGTAAACATATTCACCTCTTCAATACCAGAGATATTGTTTACCCCTAACTTCTTTAAGGAGAACTGAAGTTTTTTATCATCTGCTGTGGCTGTTCTATGAACCACCACCTTCTTTCTGCGAGCAGTTCCTTTCCCACCAGTGCACGCTTGTGCCGGCAGTTTGGTGAGTTTTTCCTGGTTCACGATTGTTTCTTTCTTCTTGTCAGAGTGGATAAGGGGCCGCGCAGGGGTCTAGGGTTGATGCTCAGGGAGTCACGGTGGACCAGCTGAGATTAGGTGCACATACTCAGGGAAGCAAGATGGCAGCTAAAGGGGGCCTTACCTATTGTTAATGAAAGTTGCCTGCAAGTAGGGCTGCATGTTGCAAAGCTTAAATGGGGCAGTAAAATTATTTATAAATCCAGACACCTTTATGAAGATGTTTCCTTGGTTTCACTTATATAAGCCTACAAAACGATCAGTTGTAAGGTACTGAGGGAATTAAACACATGAATGTTCCCAGACATCTAGGCTTTGCTGAATATTATATGATTAAAAAGCAGCCAAGCTCAATGCGGACTAAGAACTGCTGACCGTGGAGAAAATGAGATTCAGAATGGCAAATAATGTTTCAGACATTGACTTGTGAGCTTGTCTCCACCCTGTACTTAACCCCCACTCTTGCCCTTTTTTGGAGGGGAAAGGAATTATCTAGTTAAAAACTGAATCTATAGGACAACCTGTCTCTCCCGAGGCAGCTGACTTAATGCCAGTTCTTTTTTAGCTCAGTTTCTTGAGTTTAGCAGAGGAGAACACTTCTACTCACACAGTCTTTAAGTCAGCCTCCTGTGGGGCCATTTCTACGCAACCAAGGCCTCATTTATTCAGTTATTCCAAAACATATTTATTGAATGCCTTCTGTGTGCCAAGGATTGGAGATTTAGCAGTGAATAAACAGATAAAAATGCCTGCCCCTAGGGAACTGATATTCTAGTGTGATTACTGCTAGGAGTGTGTGTGAGTTGAATTGAGGCTCAGAAGTGGATGTGTCTGAGAGGCCTCAGGAGTTTGGCAGTGGGGGTGCCCAACCTGTTTCTATGTCTTCCAACAGGCTTTATTACCTGTACAGGTATGGTTGGGGAGTGTTGTAGTCTGTTTTGTGTTGCTTTAAAGGAATACCTGAGGCTGGGTTATATATAAAGAACAGAGGTTTACCTAGCTCACGGTTCTGCAGGCTGTACAAGAAGCATCATGCCAGCATCTGCTTCTGGTGAGAGCCTCAGGCTGCCTCTACTCATGGCAGAAGGTGAGCCTGTGTGTGCAGAAATCACATGATGAGAGAAGCAAGAAGAGAAAGAGGGAAGATTCGAAACTCTTTTTAACAATCAGCCCCCATGGGAACTAATAAATCAAGAATTCACTCACCCCTGAGGGAGGGCATTAATCTCTTCATGAGAGATCTGCCCCGTGATCCAAATACCTTCCATTAAGCCCTACCTCCAACATTAGAGACCAAATTCCAACATGAGATTCGGAGGGGACAAATACCCAAATCATAGCAGGGAGAGACATTCCCTCCTGTGAAGACACAAATTGAAGGACAGTTGCCTTCAGTGTTACACGAACTGCTTTCTGACTGCATATAAGAAAATTCAGTTTACTGGGTTTTGGTCCAAAATTATAACGCCATGCCAGATCTCAGTCATTTTAACTTAGGGCAGTTATTCTAGCCTTTGAATACATTTTTCCCTTGAATATCCATAGTATTGTGTGACAACCATCCAAAATATTTTAAGATTCATTTTGTCAGTAAAACGTATGCTAGGCTTTTTCATAGGCAGAGAGTAATTTGGTAGTATCAGTCCTCTTATTCTTTAAAGTTCCTTCATGCTCTAGAATTCTAATTCAGTGATTCCTTGTAGAAGCTGAGCCTGCCCAACACAATGGGCAGAGGTATTACAGAGAATTCCATTTTCATACTCTGAGGAGAACATGTAATTCCCATGCCTTGATTTTAAATGCAGTTAAAGAGCCGTAGTTTTTCAGAAGAAAGAGTACTCTCTGGCCCAACAGTAGTAATTGCAGAGGTTTGGTCCTTAATCTGTCCTCAGGGTAGTTATTTCATGGTTACTAGATGTTATAGGGACGTGCTTCTGAATATTGGTTTAGTTTTTATGGGTCTTGAATTTCAGATTGTGACATAAAACAGTTTTCTAACTGGTGCCAGTGATTTAATTGTTAGAAGCCAGAAAGTAATTGGTCATTCCTCATGTTGGCTCACGACCCCAGGCTAAACCTCCAAGCTGTGTTTAGGACAGTGAATCAGGTTCCAGGGCTAGTTCGTTTAGCCTTCAGAATGACTTTTTACACCAGCCCAGTCTTCTCATGGGCCCCTTTGTACACCAACCTGAAGTTCATTTGTTTTCTGTTTTTGAGGCACTAATCGTAACTACATAATTGGCTGTCAGTTTGAAGAAAATGAGTAATAATTTTGTTATTCATACTCCTTTTAATGCTGTTTCAGGAAGTGTTTGAGATCGATGAAATGGTACTCTCTTCTGTGATCTAATGAGAAACCTTCCTCAATTGTTGGGCAGCATTTTTGGAAAAGAGTAGCCGGTCCAGTGAAAAGCAAATGTAATACCATTAGTCTTTGAACTTCAATGGAATTAGCCAGATTTCCTGAAATAGTCTAGAAGACTACCAAAAGCCCTACGGGAGCTAAACTTGATTGAAAATAATACAGGAACTTGACCATATAGAGCTTAGATCTCTGTTGCATAGGCTGCTAAATTTCCCACAGGAGAAATGTCATTGGAACAACTTTCAGAGAGTCATTGTTGATGGTTATAAATTCAAAAGATAAGCTTGAGGTTGAAGAGAAGTGACTTTGACTGTGTTTTAGGGACAAGGTCTTAACAAAATGTAGTCTAAATTTGTATTTGAGGATATTAGAAATCCAGAAAAGGATTTCTAATATCCTCAAATACAAACTTATATTTTAGAAAACCACCATTTCTTGAACTATTCTGGGATGGCACTTTCTCAAGTTGGAGCCAAGAATGGTGGAATTTTCAGAAAGCAAAGAATTTCTTGATGACTTGACCAGCAAGTATGAGAGGACAGCCTTCTCAGTACTGAAGGTTGTGTTCTATATTTTCATCATCTGCTGGGTGCCAGGCACTGTGCTAGCTTTGGGTATGTAGTGGTAACCAAAACAGATGTTCTGTTGTGATTTTATGGAGTGGATAGTCTAGTGGGGGTGACACACTTTTTAAAATAAGCAAATAAGCCAAAGTTTAATTACACTTTGTAGCAGATGCTGTGAAGCAAAAGAACAGACATGCTTTGGGGGTGCTACTTGAGTTTGGGTCAGAAGAGAAGACCTTAGGAAATGCATTTGTTTGATGATTTACCCATATTTTAAATGTAATTTCTGCTTGCACAGCACTTGAGTAAGCTGCACAAGGGAAAAAAACCTCATCTTCTGTAATTCCTCCCAGTTTCTAATGCCACTCACTAAATGTTGACTGTGGTTTTGTGGATCCATTTTGTGATGTCCATTTTCCTTCAGGCACTCCTCCCTCTGTCTAATACGGATACAGAATCTAAATCTTTGTAGGAGTCTGTAACAGTACCTGGCCATTACTGGTCTATAATAAGTGCTCATAGAATTGCTGAATGAATTAGTGAAGGTTACAAACCGAGTGTGGTTTCTCAGTTAAAAGTGCTCTTCCAGCGATCTAACGGAACCATAAACCTTCTCTTTTCCCATTATGCCCCTCCTTCATAACACAGGTGTTCCCAACATTCTCTCCCCAAGAGTGATACCCTGTGGCCCCAGGGTTTCATCTATGTCTTATCTACAGATAACTCCCAACCCTGCAGGTTCTAGCCCTGTTTTCTCCTGTAGAGTATCAGTCCTCACCCATTTCTTATTGCTTGTCAGTCCTCTCCACTAAAATGTCCTCCTAGAAACTCAGACATGTGTGTGCAACTCTTCCCCCTTTGCCACCTTGGGTCTTTAGAGGTCACCTTCTCATAGAGGCCTCCCGTGGGCCCTGCATTTAAAACTGCAAGCTACTCTCCCATCCCACCTCAGCCCACACTCCCTCCCTAATCACCTTCCATGCTTTTTTCCCCCCATAGCATATATTCATCATTTTCTACACTTATTTATTTTCTGTATCTACCCTCTCACTCTCTTCTTTTATAAAAATTAAGCTCTACAAGGACAGGGATTTTTCTTTTTCTGTTTGGTTCACTCCTGTATCCCCCAGTGCCTGTCATGTGGTAGGAATTCACTAAATATTTGTTGAATTGATGCATATTTAGTGTTCAGACATTATATACTATATATATTACATATCATAATGCTTCTGTTGCATTAGGAGACAGTGAACAAGTCAGATGCTTGCACTGATCTGCACTGTCACTGTGAATGTCACAAATATGGACTGATCCAAGTGTGTCCTTATGGTGATTGAGATATCAGGATCATGTTTGGCCATAGGTGATGTGATTTTCTGAAATGATGGACAATTCTTGATTGAGTTCAGATAACAACAATACTCCCAGCAAAGTGGAATGGTGGTGAGAATGGATTCTGAAGCCATACTGCTTAGGTTTGAATCTCTCCTGCCATTTGCCAGCTGAGTGGCTTGTCACATGATGTCTCCATGTTTCATTTCCTCATCTACAAAATACGAATAATAATAATTTTTCCTGATTTAGGAGCTTTTTACAAGAATTAGATGAGCAGTGTTTAGCACACAGAAACATCTAAGTGTTTCTTCAGTAAATTTTTATTTAGTAGTTTCATTCTTATTTAGGGTATATTAAGCCCATGTAAAAGTACTTTATATTTAAATATAAAACAATGAACTTCTAGACTAGTTTCTTTTTAACCTATATGAATTATATGAGATACAAGACAGTTGTCATATGGGACTGTCCCTGTGTGTCACAGAATGGCCAGCAGCCTTGGCCCCTGCTCACTAAATTCTAGTAATACCCTTCAATCATCATGACCACTTAGAGTACCCTGGAAGTTTGGTGGTTTTTATATACACTGTTCTAGCTAGGCCCATACATTTGTGTCATCATTATAGATCATCTAACTAGACAAGCTCTCCGTCTTATCTGAATGTTCATTGCCCAGTGTCCACAGTGCCCTTACCACAGTGAACAAATTCCATTCCGTCACAGCTGAACGTGTGCTATCTCTTTTTTTTCCCTCCCTGCCTTTGGACACTTCCCATCCTAAATGTCTCCTGTCAGAGGATCTGTTTTTAATTTATTTCAGCAAAGGGCATATGTGGTGGTGGCTAGGAGCTCTTTGCCCCATGCATGTGTTCTACCTTAAGCCTCCAGAAAGATTCTTCAGTTTGGAAGCACTTACCCTATCAGCAGTTTGACTGCTTGCCAGTCCTCTCCACTAAAATGTCCTCCTGGAAACTCAGACGTGTGTGCAGCTCTTCCCCCTTTGCCTCCTTGGGTCTTTAGAGGTCACTTCAGATAGGCATTCTTCCTGTTTATGAATGAGGGGCTCTAGTTTTACCACCTTCACTGAACTGCTTCAATTTTACCCCACCTCAGTTTTTGCCAGGCACTTCTTAAGAGAGCCAAACTTCATTTCTAAAAGTATCTTAACATTAATTCAATTAAATAGAACATTTATAAATATTATAATGGAAAAGATCAATATTGGAGTTCCCACGGAAGGTTTCTAAGAAGAAGTAGGCCTCAAAGAATTAATAGAATTGGACTAAGTAGAGAATCAGACTGGGCAGAAAAGAGCAAGAAAGGAGGGGCGTTGTTTGTCTGTTTGCCAAACAGAGGGAAAAAATACTAGCAGAGGTGCAATGCATGTTGTGTGGGATGATCAAAACCAGGACTCAGATTGAATATTAGGTAAGAATGGCATATAGAGTTAACTTACGGAAGTCCTTGGAAACCACGTAAAAACATGACATTCTACCACTTCCTTGTTCATTGTATTCCTACCTCCCTTGTTTTTCTGTTTGTTTTGCGTGAAGGTATCTCTCGCGGTCCATGCATGAGTGGATATTTATTTACCTTCCATGCCCCCATACATGTGTACCCGACATACCAGGGGATTCAGGCACAGATACAGCAAGCAGCACTACCTGTAACCAGCCTAGTTTACAGAGAAAGCTACCTCTTTTTAGGATTAGTGTTTGATTCTGAATAGAAATCTCATTATATAGGCTTCTTTGCAAAGTACTGGTGAAGTCTTATCACTTTTTAGTATTAAACTTCATGTAAAATTTTTGGCTATTTAATTGTTTATGGTCAAGGTCTTTCTGGCTTGTGTGTTAGTCATCTCCCAACTAACAGTCTCTTGGCAGGCCGTGCTTAATTCAGTCACTGCGTATTAACAGGCTGTTCAAAATTCCACATTGCCTAGAGTTTTTCCAGTGTCCAGACACTTCTGGCTTCTCCAACCCTTCCAAGCATTCAGAATCATATTTTAGTGCTCATGTTGGAAGCCATTTAGCTCTTTCCTTTTTATTTGCCTGATTACTTTTGAATTTGAGGTAATTATATTTTATACCCTTTTCCTGACTCAGTTCAGGGTTCGTCTCATTTTGTTTACTCAGAAAGCCCAGAACATGAGATTTGTATCATTTGTGCAGTGCTCAAATGTGTGCTGATGGAAGAGTGAACCTTTAACATGTTTACTCCGGTACTATTCTATTTAGTTCTATTTTTCCTAAATAAGTCATGGTCTTTTTTCATTAAGTATACATTTGCACAAATGGTTCATGAGTCTTTGCACATAACTTAGCTCTCACAATTCCCTAATCTAATGTTGACCATGTTCTATTTTGTCATAAAACGCATGATTTTACAGCTTTTTCATTACTAGAGCCCTGCATATTAGCGTGAAGACCTGGTCCTTAATGAAAGTGTGTGGTCCATCCTCAGCGTCTCACATCTCTCCTGTGTTTTCCTTCATGAGACCTTCCTTTCCTTCCCATCTAAGCCAGAATCTTCTCTGTTTCCCCAGTTAAAACTTGCTCTGATATTTTTTATTCACACTGACGGGCAAGTTGTAGGCAACAACTGAAGGCACCGTTCTTCCCAGGGGTGGTCACTTACTAACAGTAGCAGAAGCTTCATCTGCCATGATTAAGAATTCTCAGGACGCTCTGCTGCTCCTGGGTGCCTACTGTATAAACAGATGCCCGGCCACCCACCCAGGGGAAGGGCCTACAAAGATGAGTTGTCACAAGCTGTTTCCAGTTTGTCCTCCTTTAATTAAAACAATTACAGCCTCATCAGTAATGATAAGATTGTCTCACTTAACTGTCCAAGGGTGTTAGTACTAAGCCACCCAATGAACCCTTTTATAATGTCTCATGAGTAGACCAGAGGATGTTGCTGTGACTCCTTTATCCTTTAGAGGTGTGGCTATGTTGGGACACCTAATGGCTTGTTACCTCAAACTCTGTATCCAGCTTATCATTCAGAAGGAGCTTTCTGAATTCACCTTCAGGCATTCACATGCTATCTGGTAGAATCATCTTCTAGCTATGCTGATAGATAGTTTCCTTGGTCCAGAATTTGTTATCTTCAGAAGAAGAGTCCGAGGAACAGATCTCATTTTAAAGCCACCTAGACCAAACCTAGCCTGAGTCTCCTTCTGGTTGGGCTTAAGATGGCAATGCCATTCCAACCATGGCTAGGAACTCCTGAGTCTTGGAATCAGATCACAGCTTTACTTTTCCCTCAAAGCATCTGAGCTTATATATTCCCAGGTTTTCCATCTCTTCTTGATATTTAAAGCTTTAAAAAACCCCAGTTATCAGTTTAAACCATCACAGGCACATGGGCTCTAATGACTTTTGCAGGTGATTTGGGCTATATTAGAGAACCTAGTCTTGATCTTAAACTGTCATCTGGATTCTCAGTTAATCCAGGAAACCAGTAAAAATTAGTGATGTGTATTGCATGTCTCTGATACATGTGTTTTCCATTATTTGGTCTTCCACAGCACATGCGCATACACACACACACTCACTTACTCACTCTCTTTCAGTTTTTCTAAAATGGGGAGAGACGAGACTATGGTTCCAAAAGGAAATGACTGGTGTGGTGCCTTGAAATCTGAACTTAGTCACGTGTTCTAAATGAAGTGACTCCAAGCACATTAACAAGACTTCCTTCTTTCATCTCCTACTTTTTGGAAAACACTTTGATGAGAAACACTGGTTAACTTACAGGCATTCAAATTTATTTCTGTAAAGATAAGTAATAGCCATTGCAAAGCAGTAGTACTTGTGAAATTGGAGTTAAGCTTCCATAACAGTGGTCTTAAAGAATAGGTAGGGTTAGTTAATACACAGCAGCAACCAGCTATTCTTCATCCCTGCTAAGGCTGGGAAAGAAGGAAATTAGCTTCAACTATAATAGAAGAGATTTTCAAGACTGATAATGGGAAATTTATCATCAATAAAGACTATTTTAACCATTGGAACAGATGAGTGACCAGTAGAAGTGGAGGAATGATGTTATTCTATTAGATTTAAAATAGAATATATCATCTGCTCAAGGCACTTAGAATTGGTAGATTAGATCTATCTAGTAATTTTTAACTTTGCAGGGAAGTCACAAACCCCCCATTCAGAATTTGATGGCCCCTCTCTCCAAAAACATGCACACACACAAAACTTTGCATACAATTTCAGGGAACTTACAGACTCCCTGAAGTCTATTAATTAGACCCGAATTTAGGACACCCTGGACTAGATGAGCTCCAAAAGCCTGTTTTGCTCCCTATGTGACAAACTCCATGGCTCAGTTTTCCCATAGATAACAATGGAATCTGAAGACCAAGTGTCAGGCTTTGGATTTTCTTCCTCCAGATTCGTAATGCTTGGCATGCCCAGTGTCAAAGTTAAAAAAAAGAATAGAAAGAATTCTACTTTTAATTCAGTTATTTGTCCTGGAAAAGCCAAACATTTAATTTTAAAAATTATTGGTTGTCTCTGTGTCATCTTTGTAGAAAGGCAGTACAGAGCTAGGCTGTCACCAGCAGTTCTTCCCCAGCCCCGCAACCCAGTCTGGAGTCACAGATGCAAATGCAAATTCAGATGCTACATTCACTACCCAGAATTCTTCCATGCCCACACATCTTCTTACTGTATTGCTGTGACTGTTCAGCTGGGCTTGAAAAAATATTATCTATTTATAATTTTCTCATTAGTTTTATGTCCACGTTTCATTGACTACAAGTTAGAAAACGACCATCCAGAATTACAAATCAGGGAGTAATTTGGTCCTCTACCTAAAATAAAGAGCTTTTATCCTCTTAAGAAGTAGGAATGGAGTGTAGTCTGTGGCTGTGTATTTTAAACTCATGATAATGAGTTGCCCTATATGTAAAAAGTATGACTACATGGTTTTCCTGTTCCCTTCCGCAAATATTCTCTAGTTTACCTGCAAGTTCTATAGCACTCCCTTTAATTCCATGTTGGGATTACAAGTTAATTACTTGACTCTTTGCACCTGGAATCAGGAACGCTGGAAATAAAGATTGCCTCAATGTGGAAGGGAAGTGATCTTTGGGAAAGAGCATAATTGTCAGATGTCTGTAACTTCTCAGTTTTCACTGAGCACTTCATGCTCCTAATGGCAAACCCTTAAATTCATAGTTGGAAGTGACTTAATGAAGTTAGAAATATTACTGATGAATAGGAGTTAAGCACACTTAGCCAAGGTCTCTTTACCATTCACATGGAACGCTGGTCCTTTTGACAGCTGTTTCTTCCCATTGTTGAAGGCAAGGAGGAGGATTTAAGGATTCTTCTCTGTACTCCCCACTAAAAACCCATTCTGTTCCAGTTGCTCCAATCAGAGTAATACACTGCATGGAAAGCATACAAGACATACAATGTCTGGACAGCTGCTGCGTGGCATTATTAACCCTGGCAGCTGCTTTAGCCCTTGTTGTGCCAATAGAGGTTGTTTGGGAGCTAGAATAGGGAGAGGACAGGCCATCCTGGCACCCAGCCCACCTGTAGCTCTGCTTAGTGACCGAGACTCCCTCTGCATCCTTGAAAGTTTATTGACATTTCACATTGTTAAAGCACATTTCTGTCTTTCTGGGGCTGAAGCTTGCGGCAGAGATACACATTCTGTTGAATATGTATTTTTGTGTATATTCCTGTCTGCAGAGAATGTGATCAATGGGCAGGACTACGAAGTGATGATGCAGATTGACTGTCAGGTGATGGACACCAGGATCCTCCACATCAAAAGCTCATCAGTTCCTCCTTACCTCCGAGATCAGCAGAGGAATCAAACCAACACTTTCTTTGGCTCCCCTCCTGCAGCCACAGAGGCAACCCACGTTGTCAGCACCATCCCAGAGTCATTACAATAGCACCCTGCAGCTATGCTGGAAAACTGAGCGTGGGATCCTGCCAGACTGAAGAGCAGGTGGACGAAATGCTGCTTTCTGCCTTCTTGGTGGCAGCCAGAGAACTGCCTCTGCTAGAATTCAAGGAGGAAAGAAGAAGAAATAAAAGAAGCTGCTCTATTTATCATCATCTACCCATCTATTTGGAAAGCACTGAAATTCAGACACCAGAGAACAATATTTCTTCAGTGGCAAATGTAGCCCTGCATCCTCCAGTGTTACCTGGTGTAGATTTTTTTTCTGTACTTTTCTAAACCTCTCTTCCCTGTGTTGGTCTTGTGTTTAACCAGTCATCTTCTTTCAAATAAGGTCCATCTCTCCTTTTTGCCATTTCACTTATTGATTCGTAAAGTGAATTTTATTTAAAGCTATGCCACACATGCATGTTCAAATAGTTTCCACTGATTCGATTTTTCATTCATTTAATGCAAACTCATTCTGGATATTATGCTTATTTTTTAAAAAATACATTTCAAAACCAGAACAGCCAAAAACAATCCAAAAAGAATCAAAACAATTTGGACCCTTAGGTAAAAGGGAAAACTCCCAATTGGTAAAGTTTATCTTTACTTAGGATTTGTGGCTCGAACCTGAACAAAGCAGGTGAGGGAGTGGGTGCAAATTTGGGTGAAGAGAAGGGAAGGGAAGGACCCGTGGTGCAGTTTGGAGAGAGGAGATAGTTCCATTCATATACATGTTTAAAAGATGGCAAGTTGGATGTGATTGCAGTATGAGATAAAGCCACAGCTATCATTTACTTTGAGGACTCTAGGCCATCAAGTATTGGCACACATACTTAAGTTTTCTCTTTACTAATGTGGTCCTCATGGACCACAGGACACAGCTTTCGTTTTCATTCATTATTCTATTGAAATTATACCAAATTCAGCTGAGGAACATGGAAGTAACTTTAGATTTAAACAAGACAAAAGCTTTTTCACTGAAGAACTGAGATGTACTTGTTCCTTAAAACAATGCAGATTAGTGAATGTGGATTCCTGCTGAGGGAGTGCATCCCATAATATGGCAATAATTTTCAGTTTTTCCAATGAAAAGACAGTGAAAGAATTAAATCATTTGTCCTCCCATGGTTTTTAAAAAAAGCTGTGTTCATTTTTACTGTACTTTGCCTCTTTTTTCATGTAGACAGTTTTGTTTCATTTGATGAATTCACAGAAGTGGATCTCAGTGATGTCCTCTCTAATGTTCTACCTTCAGTTTCTAAGGTGAGTCTTCCTCCCTATTCTACAAAACTTTTCAATTTCTTGATGTCATTCTACAAACACTGCTTCTTACCCCAGTTGACTTGCCTTTGTCAGATTTCTTCCCGTTCCACAGTGTCAATCAATTCCTCTTCTTCCTTGCAAGAAAGGGAAGGAGACGTTATAGCAACCTCTCAAGGATTATATGCAGCTGGTTAGTTTTCTGCCAGTGAAATTAGGCCTGGCCCCTAAATAATTTTAAACAATCATCAGCACTTCTAACTCTCTGGATAGGTGACCCTTTGTCCAAGCTAGTTAGATGCTTTCCAAGGAAATCAGTTCAACTTTTGTGAGTGGGAAAAAAGGGGGCTTTACTGTTGTATTACTTGGGCATCTGGAGTTTGAAAAATGCGAATTAACCTTCCTCTTTTTCCACATTACAAACCATTTTAAGTTAGGGCAGCCCTCCCTTTAGATTTGGCTATCCTGGGTGATTTTCAGACAAGAACCATTTTCCCTGGGGGACATTCTTCTAGTGGGTACCAAGGAATATAAGGCAAATGCCCAGAAGTCCTTCAGGTGACTGGGCAGTCTTATCGTGGGATATTTTCTCCTGGCACTGCTCCTTCCCATTCTGTAATGTGAATTAGCCACACAAGAGGCTGTGAGCACGGCTAGTAAACAGCAGCAGCAAAGTCTTCCTTAAGCTGCTAATCTTCTGCTGGAACTGTCGTACGTTTTCATGGTCAGTGTAAACCTGGTTCGAGTGGGGTGATTAGAAATGGAGTTTCCCTCCTCCGTGGCACAGAATCACAGAAGGACCCATCACGCGGACTTGTTCTTAGCGCTTCACTTTTCCTTCATCCCTCGATTCCCAGCTTTTTCTGTGATCATTTTACCAACTCCTCAGTTGGAAGACTTCGGTTATGACGTATTCACCAACGTTAGTCCCTGTCTTCCAGGTGAAAAGGTGGGGAGCGGTTGGGAGGAAGTCTCCGCAGAAGAGCAGGAAGGTTGCAGCAGGGCCGGCAGCCCGGCCACAGAGCTGCAGGTGCCTGTGAGGTGCCGCCCAGGGCAGCCTGGGAGCTTTGCCTTCTCTTCTCTCTCGCTGGCCCTTCCGCTGTTTGTCATTGCCTGTTCTTGAATGAATCTTTGAGATGAGGGAACATGTTTCTCCTAAGGGTGGAGTTTCAGGAAATGAGTGAAAGGCAATTGACAAGTGCAAAGAAGTATTCTACTTTTTAAATTGCTGGCAAAGCTATAATGAATCCCTAGGCATAATTGTAGTTTTAATTTTCATGTTTGTATGCACAAGGCCCTTTAGGAAATGGAAAGTTACCATGCCAGATTAAAATTTTTTTGAGGGGGGGATCACCTTTTGCAGGGGTTGCGCCAGAAATTGTGGGGAATATGTGTATTTATTTATTTATTAAATTTTAAATGGGATTTTGCAAGCTTGTGAGAAAAATAGATGATAAACTCATGGAGGAGGTAAATCTTCCTGTTATTAGAGGATTTTGTGCTCTTTGGACTGGCAGTAATATAGTCTTGGGAAGTGATGGTGGAGGCTGATGGAAACAGTCTTTCTGCCTGGTTGCAAGTCCCAAATTTTTAAGGCTTAACGGAAAGTAAGTGGATGTTTCCTCATATTAACTGCTGAGTCAGATGTTCGAACTTATCCCTTGAAACAAATCTGTTGTTTTCCATGCCTGTATTACAGAAACTTCACGTTGATTTTTGGGTGGGATTGTGTTTTCACAAGTAAAAAATCCCCCATAATTATAAAACTGAGAGCATCATCTAATTTTTTTTTTTAATGACTACAAGTTCCAGCACAAAACTGGCATATCTTTGCCATTTCTTGCTAGTAAGAAGTAGGGATGGAGGTATTTGAAAGCCATATTATGTGAGTCATTCTTAAGTGCTCCAAGCAAATTTAGAAACAGACAAGGAACTTGGTATTCAATTTGCATTTTAAAATTATTTTTAAAGAGACACCATCCTAATTAAATCCTCTTGGCCTGAACCTTCCTCCCCGGTGTGTATTCCCCGGTAGTCACCGCAGTGAGATGCCGGTAGGACTGCCGTGGCAGTATTTCGCACCATTAAAACTGGAAAACTCTCAAGCTCTTCGCCACTTTCCTACTATTCTTTCATTCTTGCCATTTTAGGAAGCTCAGGTTGTGAAACTTGACAGAAATGTATTACAGGAAAAGCTTGTAATTATATTTGACTTTCTAACACATTGAAAAGTTTCAAAGTGACTTTCACTTTCAACAACACATCAGAAGTAACCACTTCTGCTTTCACAGCCTGAATAGCTAGAGCCTGATCCGACGCCCCCTTTCAGTCTGAAGTCATGGGAAATTTTCCAGCCACGAAAGCCCTCTTTCCACTGCATACTGATGGGCTGACTCAGCTTCCTTCAGCCGACTGAGATCTTTTTATACTATTGGCTATTTCATACCAATTAACCTCTTAAATAAGATTGCTAATTGATAGACACTTATTACCACCTGTGGACCCCATATTCCTTACCAGAATGTTTTTTTTCATCAGTCCTGAGTCATTTCAACTTACAGAAATCAGGATTGTTGCTGCTAATATGAATACCAATCATAACTTTTAAAAACAAAAATAAAGCCTAAAAGAGAATGAAATATAAGAAATGTTCATTCCCACCCCTAATAACATTTAGAAGTGAATATTCCCATTTCCTTCAACCCACAGGGATTGGGATTGATTTTTAATTTTCTAGGAAACGATGCTGGACTACCCAAAAAGATGTTGCCAGAATCCAAAAGGAACTATGCTCATAAAAGAAATGCAGTTTTCGGCCGGGCGCGGTGGCTCAAGCCTGTAATCCCAGCACTTTGGGAGGCTGAGGCGGGTGGATCACGAGGTCAAGAGATCGAGACCATCCTGGTCAACTTGGTGAAACCCCCGTCTCTACTAAAAATACAAAACATTAGCTGGGCATGGTGGCGTGTGCCTGTAATCCCAGCTACTCAGGAGGCTGAGGCAGGAGAATTGCCTGAACCCAGGAGGCGGAGGTTGCGGTGAGCCGAGATCGCGCCATTGCACTCCAGCCTGGGTAACAAGAGCGAAACTCCGTCTCAAAAAAAAAAAAAAAAAAAAAAAAAATGCAGTTTTCTCCTGCCTGAAAAAAGAAGTGTGTTCTGATCTTTTTAATGACTAAGCTTAAAACAGTTTATTTTGGGTAAGACTAGAACTTTCAACAATTTGTTCTAATATCTGTGTTACTAGTCAAATGCAATAGAATTTATGAAAAGAAGAATGACAAAGGTGTCTGATTAGGAAATTTCATCTTATGTATGAATCCATGTCATCGCCAGCCACTGTCACGTAGTGGATGGCATTCTCAACATACTGGTTCTAACTTTAAGCATTAGGAATTTAGCACATTAAAATACCTTTAATTCTATTAGGCTTGGTAACTAAGGAGTAAATAAATAAGTTTATCATTTGCCAAACAGCACAAATAACTGTTGTGCTGTTTGCTCTCAATGAAGTTGGTGACCATTAGTTAAATAAACCAGGAGGCTTGGCCTATCCCCTTTATGTTAATCCCAACTGGAGATTAGCAGGTAGACTTTCGCAGCAATTGTATATTGATCCACTTTCACTCATACTTGCCCTAAGTTCCAGGCCAGTCACCAGGACAGAGGAGATGATGGGAAAACAGAGCTTTAGATGAAAACCACTATGCACTACCAGCCTTAGAGGCACTGGTTTCCTGTTACCACTTTGGCAAGTGTGGTTAGGCTAAGTTCAATCAGGCTTCATCCATGGAACCATTAGAACTGAGGAGGGTGTGTTAGAGATACCATTTCACCAGGATCTTTTTTCTCAGGTTGTACGCATGTCACTTTAAGAACATGTTGAAGATGAGGAGGAGAGAGGCACCATTCTCTCCCTTAACAATGATGATGTTTGCAAAACCTAAAGAAATAACAGATTATTTCATACTTTCAAGCAAGTCTTTATAATGCAATACCTGTTATTTCTCTAAAATTCAAATAAAGAATTTTTAAACTTGCCTTGTTTTATTCTGTATATAGAAAGAGAGAAAAAGCAGCCCCCAAATGAATCTTCAGTGTTAAGGGGTTAGTCATGGGAAAGGAAGCCTGAAAAGGCCTTGTGGGTTGTGTTACTGTTAAGATGAAACTGTTGGACTCTTTTCTGCTTTTCTCCCAAGCCAATTAAGTAAAAATGTCCTTTATGTGTCCAGATATTTAAACCACAATCTTATCAAGGAAAAAATAATCTAAAAACCCCATATTTTATCTTTCTGTGTCTTCAGGAAACCGTGTTACTCAGTCACGCCTCTTGTCCTCACCAGAGGCCTCTTCCCAGCTTGCAGTGGCAAATGCCACCACACCTGAAGCTAGTCACTGCAGACTGACAGCAAGGGCTCCATCAAGGAGTAATTAATGCAGGCATTTACTGAGCACCCAGTGAATGCCTCGGACACTGCTTTATTAACTATATTATTTCAATCTTCTACAACCTATTTTGTAAGATGGTGTTATTAATAAGTGGAGCCGGCCAGGCACGGTGACTCATGCCTGTAATCCCAGCACTCTGGGAGGCCGAGGTGGGTGGATCACCTGAGCTCAGGAGTTTGAGACCAGCCTGGGCAATACGGTGAAACCCTGTCTCTACAAAAAATACAAAAATTAGCCAGGCATGGTGGCAGGTGCCTGTAATCCCAGCTACTTGGGGAGCTTAACTGGTAGGATCACTTGAAACCAGGAGGCAGAGGTTGCAGTGAGCCAAGATCACATCACTACAATCCAGCCTGGGCAACAGAGTGAGACCCTGTCTCCCTGTCTCCCTGTCTCTCTCTCTCATATTCATATATATATATATATATATATATATACACACACACACACACACACACACACACACACACACACACACCCCTTCCTCCAGCCTCCCACCTCTTTATGGCATTGTCTCCTGAGACTTCTCACTCTATGTGGGATATAGTTCGAGCCAATTTTTGAATCTCAAAGGGTACCCACAAATGACATTTGCGTTATAAAATACATGGTATCATAAATAGAGGGCTTCTTTAGCATTCACCTTGTAATGTACCTAACTGGTCTAATTTTGGTAAAGATTTAAATCACTTCCAATGTTTTGTTCACAATAGGAAACATATAGCATATTTCAATCCATTACATTCATTGAGTGTGATCTGTATAAATGCCTGAAGAGAATCCTTCTCTTAGTTCAGTTAATGGTGGTAGCTGATGCATATTGAAGACCTAACCTTCCAGACACTATGCTAAGCCTTTACAAGCTTTAGCTCATTGGAGCTTTGCAGCAAGCCTTAATCATAGACATAATAATATTAATACCTGCATCTGTGAATTACAGATGAAGAAATAGTCACAAGAGATTTGGTAACTTGCCCAGGAACTCACAACTAGTACATAGCAGAGTTGAAATTTGAAATTAAGTCTGTCATGATTTCGAAGCCACGTTCTTTCTACTATGCTACATTGTCATTCATCCTTTGAAGTCATAAAGAGACAAATGAGTGAGGAGGAAACCAAGCCACACAACATGGGCAAGCAGGTGCTGAGGCATGTTCAGGAAAGAGGGAGAGTCGCTAAGGGGCAAGGTCCAGTAGTATCCGAGGGTCTTCTGTGAGTGACTCAGAAGCATACACTCAAGGCTGTGTGCAGAGCCTGCGCTGGGCTGGTTCTTCCAGGCTCTGTAGTCCCCATCTTGGATGAGTTACCTAGTGAGGTGGTTTCAAGCTGGCTCCCCCATAATTGATCCCAGGCTCG